GCGTGTCCTAACAATGATGTGTACGCAACTGCGTGTCTGCATATCTGCGCCTAACAAATGTGGTACTACGCAAGACTTACGTTTATAATCGTAGCAACAGACCTCAGATGAGCCCAGACGCTCTGCGGCTCTTGTGTGTATATCCCCTGTGCGTATGCTTATTATGATGGCATTCAGTGTTTATTTACCCTTTTATCAGCGCTAGTATCAGTGTATACGTTGTCTCAGACCATTTTGTATTGCTCAGACTCGTCACTGTGCACTTGTTTACATGCATTTCCTGATGCCTAAGAACACTTCCGGTTTGTCGAAGGAAAGGTCTGCGACGTAAAGTAGTTCCTTGCTAATCGTCACACACGAATTACTGTGCGAGTTACTAAGAACTGATTATAGTATAGTTCGTTAACCTTTTGTATTTGTATAGTTAGGGTAATCTGAAATGTGAGTGTGTCGGGTATTTGAGATGACGAGCCGTGATATTCTTGCGCCGGTACGATTCTCGGCGGGAACAGCATGGCGCACCTGGCTTGTGCCATGGTTTTCATTTGTTCTACGATACTATAAAATTTATCGATAATTCTCCGAACCCCATAATGCCGCACGAGGTAATTATTAAGACCAATGTCTATTACGCTAGTATATGTAGGTTTCAATGACTGTCGAATTGCTTTCTGCCAAATATGTTGTAGTTTGACCATCAATGTACATTGCCGGCTAGCTGACACTGCTTGACGTTAACCATGCATAGAGCCCTTCAGGTCATCATCGTACTGTTCACGTTTACAGTTGACATATATTTGTCTACTTATATTTGCAAGGCACGTTTCGAAATTTAGAGCATATTGTCGTTATTGTGTTTTGCAGTTTTTACGACACCATAGCAACGAGATCGTCAACAAATAAAGATTAAAGAAAGTAAACGTGGTGCCCGTACTGATATAAAACGGTGTTGTTAGCATTCTTTGGAAGTGGGTGGTTCGCGAGCAATTACAGTAAAAACTCCAGGTATTGAAAATGAATGAAACTAGTCTCAGCTGGTGAACTCCGTTGCCTCATACCGACCGTTTAAAGACGAACATTGTGTAACGGAGTGAATTCAAGTTTCTGGACGTACAATAAGCACTGTAAGCTCGTTGTCATTCTGCAGTGCTTATTTATTCGTTGTCCGGAGAACAACACGGTGTTCCTCCCACATGGTGCAAGTAGATCCAGAGCGTAAAATTGAACGGCGTGTCAGGATCATGGCTGGCGGACTTCCCTCAATGCACACGGCAGAGAAGTTTCAACTCGACAATACTTCCAGAGTGATCTTCCTTCATTCAGCTGTCTTCGCCTAGATACAAACAGGTCAAGAGCGTAACGGACCTAGCTGCCGAAGAGACGGCATCATCTCACACGTGTCATCGTTGAAGTTCAGAACTATCGGTATCGAATAATTCAAGTACTGATCTCAAGAGAAAGATTGTACGGAACTCGGTTATTCATGCATGTGTACGCCAATGTATGTTTGTGAGTTTATTCTTTCAAGTGTTTTCCAGTACGTATAGAAATTACGGTCGCGGTTACATTTGTACCGGTACTTATATAGTATGTTGTATGTTGGTTGACTGGGTGAGTTAACGAGAAATCATACACACGTCATCCCATACATGTACATGTATCATCGTTATTCGCATGTGCAATTATCTGTGAATATTGCTGTTAATAATTTGTAACCATACCATTTGTCGCAACGGGCGGCAATTACCACAGACGTCCCCTTTCCACCTTCGTCCGTTAGTATGTCAGATGAAGGGGAGGTAACTCCAGGGCCCAAGGCAGATACAGGAGAGGTAAATTCAGGGCCCATGGCAGATACAGGGGCGGTAAATACAGGGCCCATGTCAGATGAAGGGGAGGTACATTCAGCGTCTGAGGTAAATGACGGGTTGGTGACCGCAAATGTTGCTACCCTAGCTGGGCATGACACAAACTCTTGTCCTGACTTTCCAACAAATACAGAATTATCGGGGGTCCCCAACCAAGACTCATTGACTAGTGTAAGGCAAAGGGTGCCTAGTGATAAATTTGCAAGCTGGCAAACTGATCAGAATAAGCGAAATTTCCGTTCTGCTATCTCAGCATGGCGCAAGGGTGCATCAAGAGCTGAGTTGACATTGTCTGAGTCGCAAGACATCTCTGCCCTGAAGCGAGAATGTGAAAGGTTAGGTACGCTAATGAATGAAGTCTCTCATCGATTCGAGCGTTATGAGACCTTGGTCGTTCCTGAAGAACACGACATGGTGTGCCAGAGATATGATGAGATAGAAAAGGAAAATCTTTTGTTGACAAGACAACTCGCCGGGACTATTAGAGAGATTAGGGGTGACTCTGAGGATACACAATCAAGGTTGTCTAGCAAAAGTCGAGCATCAGGAATTTCAAACATTTCTAGAGTTTCGTCCGTCTCGAGGCGGTTAGATGCGGAAGCTGACAGAGCTATGCTGAAGGCTAAGCTTCAACATATGGTGCTTGAGGATCAAACTAGACTTGAACTTGAGCAGAAGAAAGCCGAGTACTTGAGAGCTAAGACACTTACGGAATTGGGCATGGCAGAAGCAAGGCTGGAGACAATAGTTAAGGAAGAAGAATTCAGCTCTCCTCTACCTGGTGAGCCGACGACCAGCGCAGAAAATGTCATTCGTTACTTGCAATCTCAACCTAAATCACCTATATGTTCTTCGTTTCCTGTCAATGACGACGGGGTGGGACCCACGCAAGTTTCCGCTACTCGACAAAAGGGACCTGCCGCTGCTCAACATGTGCCTTATAATAGTCAGCCTTCTGATTCGGGTGCTAGGCATGTCGACTCCACTCTTGATGCCAATGTCAAGGAGTGGAAACCCTTGGAGCCTAAAAATGACATCACAGCCTTTGCAGAGGCGCTGTCAGCCTCTATCGGCTTAAGCAGGCTCCCAGTGCCAGAGCCACCAGTTTTTCAAGGTGATCCTCTAGAGTACCCCGACTGGGAAGCGTCCTTTGCCGCTCTGATAGAAAGTAGAGGAATTCCAGTGCAAGAACGAATTCACTATCTGAAAAGATACCTATCGGGTCCAGCCAAAGAAGCGGTAAATGGGTATTTTTTGCTGAAAAGCGAGAATGCGTTTGAGAAGGCCAAGAGCGTCTTGCAGAAGCGATATGGTAGCCCCTTTGCAGTTTCAGAGGCATTTCGAAGGAAGTTGGAGTCTTGGCCAAGAATCCAGCCCAGAGACGGCAGGGGACTCCAAAAATTCTCGGATTTTCTCCAACAGTGTGAGATGGCAATGGCAGACATAGAGAGCCTAACTATCCTGAACGACAACCGTGAAAACAGGAAACTTCTCCAAAAGCTACCCGACTGGATTGTTACTAGGTGGGGAAGACTTGTGTCTAGAGAAAGGGACTCAACGGGTACATACCCAAAGTTCAGTAGCTTTGCGAAATTTCTGGCCGAAGAGGCAGAAATTGTCTGCGACCCGGTAGTCTCCTTAGAATCCTTGAGATCCACGCAAAGTTTACAGGGATGCGAAAGGACAACCATCTCGAGGAAGAGTAACGGAGCTCGTTCACTCGCAACAGAAACAAAGGAATTAAGGGGAAGCTGCGAGACAAAGAACAGAGGTACGACACCCACCACAGTAAAGGAGGATATCAAGCGGCCTGTCTGCAGTCTCTGTGAAAAGGATCACACTCTGGCAGCCTGCACTGATTTCCACAAAAAATCAATGGATGAGAAGAGGGAGCATATAAAACAGAGAAAGCTCTGCTTCGGGTGCCTTAGGAAAGGGCACTTTACTAAGGACTGCCGCAACAGACATACGTGTTGGAAATGTAAGAAGAAGCATCCGACGTGTCTGCATGAAGAAAGAGGTGAGGGACCTCAACCTATACATGAAGGTTCTATAGAGAAGACCGCAACCAACTTTAACGTAAGGAATACTGGAACGTCAACGGCTATGATCGTGCCAGTTTGGGTCTCGTCGGTCAATAAGCCGGAAGCTGAAATCTTGATATATGCATTGTTGGATACCCAAAGCGACACTTCCTTCATCTTGGATGAAACCAGCAAAGCCTTAGATGTTTCAAGAGATCCCAGCAGACTCAAACTTAACACAATGACGTCACTCAACACGGTAGTACAGTGTGACAGAGTAAGAGGTCTACAAGTGAGAGGTTACCATAGTGAGGATAGACTGAACATTGCTACAGCTTACACCAGGGACATCATACCGGTTGAACGAGCGTCAATTCCGACGAGTAGAACTGCAAAGGAATGGTCTCACCTTGCTACCATTGCCGAGGAGATTCCTCCACTTCAGAACTGCGAGGTGGGGATGCTTATTGGTTACGACTGTCCACTTGCGGTAGCAGCGACAAGTTGCATCACTGGAACAGAAGAGCAACCTTGCGGCTTGAAAACAATTCTGGGGTGGAGTATTGTCGGTCCAGGCCCACCAAATGCAGCCCAAGACGTCACAGGGTATTGTCATCGAGTTTCAGTAAAGGTCATTCCTGCAGTCTCACCAAGTGCTGTTATCAAAGTGTTGGAGTCAGATTTCAGTGACAGCACTACCGGAGATAAGGTTGTGTCTCAGGAAGACCTGCGATTTCTCGAAATCATGGACGAAGGAATACACCGCAGGGAAGACGGTCATTATGAGATGCCCCTCCCATTTAAATCACATCGGCCCGCACTGCCAGACAACAAGAGAGTAGCCGCTGTCAGACTAAATCATCTTAAGCGCAAACTTATTGGGAATTCAAAGTACCTAGAGGACTACAAGAGTTTCATGGACGGTATCATTGAGAGAGGTGACGCAGAGTTAGTCTGCAAGGATGGTGTCGAGGGTGGTCGATGGTACATCCCGCATCATGGTGTGTACAATCCCAACAAACCAGGGAAGATCAGGGTAGTTTTTGACTGCTCGGCCAAATATCAGGGAGAGTCTCTCAACGACCATTTGCTTACAGGCCCTGACCTTATCAATGGCCTGGTTGGAGTGCTCAGCAGGTTCCGAAAGTTCCCAGTAGCACTTATGTGCGACGTGGAAAAAATGTTTCACCAGTTTCACGTTGACAACGCAGACAGAGACTACCTCCGATTCTTATGGTGGGAGAACGGGGACATCAACAGTGAGCCTCGTGAGTACAGGATGACAGTGCATCTGTTTGGGGCAGCATCGTCGCCAGGCTGTGCCAACTACGGGCTGAAACATATCGCCGAGAAGCATGGTAAAGAGTTTGCAGAGGCTTCAAGATTTATCCTTCGCAACTTTTATGTAGACGACGGTCTTGGCAGCGTTCAGTCTAGCGCCAAGGCTATCCAGTTGGTTCGAGACACTCGAGAAATCTGCAGTACAGGGGGCCTACGACTCCACAAGTTCCTTTCGAACAGTCGAGAAGTATTGGAATCAATCCCGGAAAGTGAACGAGTTGCAGGAGTGAAGGATGTTGATTTAAACCAACAAGAGCTTCCAGTGGATAGGTGCTTAGGCATTCAGTGGCATGTAGAATCGGACTGTTTCAAGTTTCAGATCGAGGCACGCAACCAGCCATTGACTCGAAGAGGGGTTTTGTCTACTATCGCATCCATCTACGATCCACTGGGATTTATTGCTCCGTTTGTTCTCGTGGGCAAGAGCATTCTTCAAGGAAATGTGCCGGAAGGGTGTAGGCTGGGATGAACCATTGCCGGATGAGCTTTGTCCACGGTGGGAGAAGTGGCGAGACGACTTCAAGACCTTGGAAAGCATTCGCGTTCAGCGTTGCTTTGTGCCTCCTGAATTCGGTAAGGTCATGCGAGCAGAGTTGCATCATTTCTCAGATGCTAGTACCCATGGGTATGGACAGTGTTCCTACCTCAGATTAGTGAGTGAAAGTCAGGTTCACTGCTCACTTGTCACAGGCAAAGCGAGGGTAGCACCAGTGAAACTTACCACAATCCCAAGGCTGGAGCTCACCGCTGCTGTTATTTCAGTCAAGATGAGTGCTTTTCTAAAAGAGCAACTGGACTACGAAATTGACGAGGAGCATTTCTGGACGGACTCTAAAGTCGTTCTGGGCTACATCAACAACGAAGCACGGCGTTTTCACGTATTCGTAGCAAATAGAGTCCAGAGAATTCGACAGAACTCTAGTACGGAACAGTGGCATTATGTTGAAACCGGCAGAAATCCTGCTGATCATGCCTCTCGAGGTCTCACTGCTTGCCAGCTGACGCCGTCCAACTGGTTCACAGGACCAAAATTTCTCTGGGAAAGAGAGATTTCTATCAAAGACGATCCAGTCTCGGAGCTTAAACTTGGAGACCCAGAAGTTCGGAGTGGAAACGTGCTCACAACAGCGTCTTCTAAATGGGCAGCAGTGCTCAGAGCAGTCGCCCAACTTCAGATGTTAGCCATGGGACAAGGTCGAGGAAAGTCCAGCACAGTACAGGAAAGGAAAAAGGCCGAACTGTTCGTCATCAGACTTGTCCAACAGAGAGCATTTGGGAAAGAGATGGAACAGTTGGAAAGGACAAGCAAGTTGTCGAAGACTTGCAGTCTTTTCAAGCTCAACCCCTTTCTCCAAGATGGAGTTCTCAGAGTTGGTGGTAGACTTATGGAAGCCTCATTGCCGGACGAGGTGAAACACCCAGCCGTCCTACCCAAAGACAGTCACGTGACAAGGTTGATCATCGGTTACTGCCATGAAAGGATACAGCACCAGGGAAGGGGAATGACGCTCAACGAAATCCGAAGAAACGGTTATTGGATTGTCGGTGGGAGCAAAGCTGTGGCTTCTCACTTGCGTCAATGCTTCTGGTGCAGAAAATTCCGCAGACCAGTTGAGGAACAGAAGATGGCAGACCTCCCGGAAGATAGAGTTGAAATCAGCCCACCATTCACGTATTGTGGGATAGACTGCTTCGGTCCTTTTAGGATAAAGCAAGGGCGAAAGGAGCACAAGAGGTATGGATTGCTTTTCACTTGCATGTGCTCACGTGCCGTGCACATAGAAGTCTTGGAAGACATGACAACGGATGCATTCATCAATGCACTTAGATGCTTCATCGCTATCAGAGGACCGGTGCGTCAGATACGGTGCGATCAGGGGTCCAACTTCATAGGAGCCAAGAATGAACTTAACAATGCTATGAGGGAATTGGACAGCGACAGGCTGGGAGCCTACCTAGTGGAGAGACAGTGCGACTTCTTGATGAATGCTCCGCATGCTAGTCACACCGGAGGAGTGTGGGAACGTCAGATAAGGACGGTCAGAAATGTGCTGACTTCACTAGTTGAACAGTCTCAAGGAAGATTGGACGATGCGTCCCTTCGAACGTTTCTTTATGAGTCAATGTACATCGTCAACAGTCGACCACTATCCGTGGAAAACATCAATGATCCCACACACCTTGAGCCGCTCACGCCTAACCATCTGATCACGATGAAATCGTCCGTGGCCTTGCCTCCACCTGGACTTTTTGTGAAAGAAGACTTGTATGCCAGGAAACGGTGGAGGAGAGTGCAGTTCCTGACAGAACAGTTTTGGAGCCGGTGGCGTAAGGAGTATCTGCTTAGTTTGACTCTGAGACAGAAGTGGCACGTCCCCAGGCGGAACATTGAGATAGGCGATATTGTTATGGTTAAGGACGACAATGTTGTTCGCAGTCACTGGCCATTAGCAAGAGTGACAGGGACGGTCACCGACAAAGACGGTTTGGTTAGGAAGGCCAAAGTTGACCTCGGCAAGGAGGGACGCGCTTTGGAGCGGCCTATTCAACAACTGGTTCTTTTGCTAGAGAGTGACAATTAGCATGGACTTTGTTTGATTTGAATCTGTGTGGCACCCTATGGGTGCACTGGGATACCAGTTGTCTGAAGTGTATAGTAGTGAGATCCGTCATCGCAGTAATTCATGTTGTTTCCCGCCAAGTACGCTTCTTGAAAAGCATTCATCATATGGTACCAAATTTGAATGCTTGGTGGGAGTGCGTATGTGTGTGGGTGCGTCTGTGTGTGCATGCGTATTTGTGCGTATGTGTGTGTGTGTGTGTCTGTGTGTGCATGCGTATTTGTGCGCGCGCGTGTGTGTGTGTGTATATGTGTGTGTGTGTGTGTGTGTGTGCGTATTTGTGCGCGCGCGTGTGTGTGTGTGTATATGTGTGTGTGTGTGTGTGTGTGTGCGTGTGTGTGCGCGCGCGTGTGTGTGTGTGTATATGTGTGTGTGTGTGTGTGTGTGTGCGTGTGTGTGCGCGCGCGTGTGTGTGTGTGTATA